GTAAGAATTTTGTGTTCTCTTTCTGTTCACAAAGAATCATATCGTGTCATTATTATTATTATTATTATTTTAAGGAATGGGAAAATTGATCTATTTTCCCTACTCATTTACATATACTTGCGTTATGTATTTTAAAGAAACGAAACTATTTACATTTTGCCCAGATAATGTAGCATAATAAGCCGTCGATATCTACCTGATTTATCACCGAAATAAACACGTGAATCCGCATAACCAACGTAAGATTCGTCCTCATTTATTTCAAGAGTTAATGCTGTGAGGATCAAAGAATTCCTTCGTTAGGTCGGCGCGCGGGCCAGGGCATCCCCAGGCCTGTAAGATGTCGATTCTCGATATTAGCATCTGCCCTTCCGATGGGTCACGTGCGGCTACTTATACGTACATACATGCACACATGCATAAATACACATGCATAAATGCACACATGCATATATACATGCAAGTATACATACATGCATACGTGCATATATACATGCATGTGTACATATATGCATACAATAATACATGCATGTGTACATATATGCATACAATAATACATGCATGTGTACATATATGCATACAATAATACATGCAAACAATAACACACGCATACAGTAATGCATACATGTATACAATAATATATACATGCATACGTGCATGCATACTTTTATACATACCTGCATGCATACTTTTATACATACCTGCATGCATACTTTTATACATACCTGCATGCATACTTTTATACATACCTGCATGCATATGTACATGGATACGTACTTGCATACATAAATGGATACATGCTTGCATGCATCCATACATGCATACGTACATATATTTATACATGCATAGATACAATTGTATATTCGTTCGTTCTTTCTTTTTCGTTTTTCTTCTGTATCTATTTATCTTTATGATAACTTCATTGCGCGGGAAGTACAGTGAATTTAGTATAACATTTTTTCTTTACAAAAAACTAAAAGTTTCCATGAAATAAACTAGACTAATACGAAAGAAACAAAAGAAGACATGAATACGAATTAAAAAAAAAACGGAAATTCAAACCAAAACAAAACGAAACGCAATGAATAAAAAGCAACCAGTCGGGCACTAGACACGCGGCCAATGGTTTATGATTGAGAGAGAGAAAAAAAAAACGCAAAAAAGTGGTTGTTGAATTTTCATTGTTGTCAAGTGTTGGTTTATGTTTAGCTGTCAGTCTGCTTTTTTCCCATAATGAAGAGCTGCTGGTATTACGGAATGCTTGCCCAGGTTGAGAAGCGTGAGTGCGTGTGAGAAAAAGAGTGTGTGAGTGAGTGACAATGAGAATGAGTTTGTGTGTGAGTGCATGCGTGAGTGAGTGCGTGCGTTTGAGTGAGTGAGTGCGTGCGTTTGAGTGAGTGAGTGCGCTTGAGTGAGTGCGTGCGCTTGAGTGAGTGAGTGCGTGCGCTTGAGTGAGTGAGTGCGTGCGCTTGAGTGAGTGAGTGCGTGCGCTTGAGTGAGTGAGTGCGTGCGCTTGAGTGAGTGAGTGAGTGTGTGCGCTTGAGTGAGTGAGTGAGTGAGTTGCGTGCGCTTGAGTGAGTGAGTGAGTGAGTGCGTGCGCTTGAGTGAGTGAGTGAGTGCGTGCGCTTGAGTGAGTGAGTGCGTGCGCTTGAGTGAGTGAGTGCGTGCGCGCGCTTGAGTGAGTGAGTGAGTGCGTGCGCTTGAGTGAGTGAGTGAGTGCGTGCGCTTGAGTGAGTGAGTGAGTGCGTGCGCTTGAGTGAGTGAGTAGTGAGTGCGTGCGCTTGAGTGAGTGAGTGAGTGCGTGCGCTTGAGTGAGTGAGTGAGTGCGTGCGCTTGAGTGAGTGAGTGAGTGCGTGCGCTTGAGTGAGTGAGTGAGTGCGTGCGCGTGAGTGAGTGAGTGAGTGCGTGCGCTTGAGTGAGTGAGTGAGTGCGTGCGCTTGAGTGAGTGAGTGAGTGCGTGCGCTTGAGTGAGTGAGTGAGTGCGTGCGCTTGAGTGAGTGAGTGAGTGCGTGCGCTTGAGTGAGTGAGTGAGTGCGTGCGCTTGAGTGAGTGAGTGAGTGCGTGCGCTTGAGTGAGTGAGTGAGTGCGTGCGCTTGAGTGAGTGAGTGCGTGCGTGCGCTTGAGTGAGTGAGTGAGTGCGTGCGCTTGAGTGAGTGAGTGAGTGCGTGCGCTTGAGTGAGTGAGTGAGTGCGTGCGCTTGAGTGAGTGAGTGAGTGCGTGCGCTTGAGTGAGTGAGTGAGTGCGTGCGCTTGAGTGAGTGAGTGAGTGCGTGCGCTTGAGTGAGTGAGTGAGTGCGTGCGCTTGAGTGAGTGAGTGAGTGCGTGCGCTTGTAGTGAGTGAGTGAGTGCGTGCGCTTGAGTGAGTGAGTGAGTGCGTGCGCTTGAGTGAGTGAGGAGTGAGTGCGTGCGCTTGAGTAAAGTGAGTGAGTGAGTGAGGTGCGTGCGCTTGAGTAGTGAGTGAGTGAGTGAGTGCGTGCGCTTGAGTGAGGACGTGAGGTGAGTGCGTGCGCTGTGAGTGAGTGAGTGAGTGAGTGCGTGCGCTTGATGAGTGAGTGAGTGCGTGCGCTGAAGTGTGAGTGAGTGCGTGCGCTTGAGTGAGTGAGTGGTGAGTGAGTGCGTGCGCTTGAGTGAGTGAGTGCGTGCGCTTGAGTGAGTGAGTGAGTGCGTGCGCTTGAGTGAGTGAGTGAGTGAGTGAGTGCGTGCGCTTGAGTGAGTGAGTGAGTGAGTGCGTGCGCTTGAGTGAGTGAGTGAGTGAGTGCGTGCGCTTGAGTGAGTGAGTGAGTGCGTGCGCTTGAGTGAGTGAGTGAGTGCGTGCGCTTGAGTGAGTGAGTGAGTGAGTGAGTGCGTGCGCTTGAGTGAGTGCGTGCGCTTGAGTGAGTGAGTGAGTGAGTGCGTGCGTGCGCTTGAGTGGAAGTGAGTGAGTGAGTGCGTGCGCTTGAGTGAGTGAGTGAGTGAGTGAGTGCGTGCGCTTGAGTGAGTGAGTGAGTGCGTGCGCTTGAGTGAGTGAGTGCGTGCGCTTGAGTGAGTGAGTGAGTGAGTGCGTGCGCTTGAGTGAGTGAGTGCGTGCGCTTGAGTGAGTGAGTGAGTGAGTGCGTGCGCTTGAGTGAGTGAGTGAGTGAGTGCGTGCGCTTGAGTGAGTGAGTGAGTGCGTGCGCTTGAGTGAGTGAGTGAGTGCGTGCGCTTGAGTGAGTGAGTGCGTGCGCTTGAGTGAGTGAGTGAGTGCGTGCGCTTGAGTGAGTGAGTGAGTGCGTGCGCTTGAGTGAGTGAGTGAGTGAGTGCGTGCGCTTGAGTGAGTGAGTGAGTGCGTGCGCTTGAGTGAGTGAGTGAGTGCGTGCGCTTGAGTGAGTGAGTGAGTGCGTGCGCTTGAGTGAGTGAGTGAGTGCGTGCGCTTGAGTGAGTGAGTGAGTGCGTGCGCTTGAGTGAGTGAGTGAGTGCGTGCGCTTGAGTGAGTGAGTGAGTGCGTGCGCTTGAGTGAGTGAGTGAGTGCGTGCGCTTGAGTGAGTGAGTGAGTGCGTGCGCTTGAGTGAGTGAGTGAGTGCGTGCGCTTGAGTGAGTGAGTGCGTGCGCTTGAGTGAGTGAGTGAGTGCGTGCGCTTGAGTGAGTGAGTGAGTGCGTGCGCTTGAGTGAGTGAGTGAGTGCGTGCGCTTGAGTGAGTGAGTGAGTGCGTGCGCTTGAGTGAGTGAGTGAGTGCGTGCGCTTGAGTGAGTGAGTGAGTGCGTGCGCTTGAGTGAGTGAGTGAGTGCGTGCGCTTGAGTGAGTGAGTGAGTGCGTGCGCTTGAGTGAGTGAGTGAGTGCGTGCGCTTGAGTGAGTGAGTGAGTGCGTGCGCTTGAGTGAGTGAGTGAGTGCGTGCGCTTGAGTGAGTGAGTGAGTGCGTGCGCTTGAGTGAGTGAGTGAGTGCGTGCGCTTGAGTGAGTGAGTGAGTGCGTGCGCTTGAGTGAGTGAGTGAGTGCGTGCGCTTGAGTGAGTGAGTGCGTGCGCTTGAGTGAGTGAGTGCGTGCGCTTGAGTGAGTGAGTGCGTGCGCTTGAGTGAGTGAGTGCGTGCGCTTGAGTGAGTGAGTGAGTGCGTGCGCTTGAGTGAGTGAGTGAGTGCGTGCGCTTGAGTGAGTGAGTGAGTGCGTGCGCTTGAGTGAGTGAGTGAGTGCGTGCGCTTGAGTGAGTGAGTGAGTGCGTGCGCTTGAGTGAGTGAGTGAGTGCGTGCGCTTGAGTGAGTGAGTGAGTGCGTGCGCTTGAGTGAGTGAGTGAGTGCGTGCGCTTGAGTGAGTGAGTGAGTGCGTGCGCTTGAGTGAGTGAGTGAGTGCGTGCGCTTGAGTGAGTGAGTGAGTGCGTGCGCTTGAGTGAGTGAGTGAGTGCGTGCGCTTGAGTGAGTGAGTGAGTGCGTGCGCTTGAGTGAGTGAGTGAGTGCGTGCGCTTGAGTGAGTGAGTGAGTGCGTGCGCTTGAGTGAGTGAGTGAGTGCGTGCGCTTGAGTGAGTGAGTGAGTGAGTGCGTGCGTTTGAGTGAGAATCAGTGTGAGTGTGTGCGTGCGTGCATGTGTGTGAGATTGATTGATTATTTAAATTTATCTGCCGCGTCAACAGCTAAGGTCATTAGCGGATGTGTGTGTGAGGGTCTGCTTGTGCGTGTGCGTGTGAGGATGTCCTTGTGCGTGTGAGTATTTGTTTGTTTTGCGATGTATGGTGTGATTTCTGTGATGTGCGTGATTCCTGATTGCTGAAAAGGGTAGCTTGGTCATTAGGAAATGTCGGAAATACCCAAATGCTTTAATCTAAGTGTTTTGGGGTGTTGGGTAGTTTTGTCGAGAGTCATGCGCCTATTTGTATGTTTGATCGTAGTTCACATCCACACAGATACACTCATCCACACAGACACATACATCCACACAGAAACATATATCCACACACAGTCAAAAACATACATCCACACAGAAACATACATCCACATACACAGTCCGAAACAAACATCCACACACATACATCCACACAGACACAGTCACACATCCACA